CAGAGACTGTGGGGCCAGCTGCCTGGGGTCAGACCCCAGTCCTGTCACTAAGAAGCTCCAGGCCCTTGGATATTCCTTAACTTCTTGACCTGTGCCTTAGCTTTCCCAACTGTAGTGGGATAGAGTGACTACCTCAAAGAGTTGTTGTGGGGTTGACTGGAGTCAATGGTGTCTGGTTTATGTAGTTGTGCGTGGTCTATACTGACGCACGGTGACCCTGTAAGACACAGTAGAACTGCACTGATGTTGCTGTGTGTTGTAGAGTCGACTTCGACTCATAGTGACCCTGCCCTGTCTCGCACAGCCGTCACCATGTCTTAACTGCGTTAGCTGCCATTAAGAATTGACTGGGACCCTGCTTTGTGGCAGACCTTCAGTGCTTTATGCATTGTGCTAGTTTTAATTCCTTTAACTATCCTATGAAGTGAGTGTTAAGAGTCTTCACCCTCAAATGGTCCTGGGGGTCATGCTGGTGGTGGTCATCATGGTGGTGGTGGTGATGGTGGCAGTGGTGGCGGTGGTGGTGCTGCTGGTGATGGTGGATAGAGTATCTGAGACAATGTATGCTCAAGTCTGAACTTTAACTATAGCAGTAGGTAGAAATGCTGTTTGCCAGGCTACCTCATGTCTTTCTTTTCAGCAAAGTCCTGCAATGAATGGGTATGAAGAATGTAACCCATGTCACAGAGCAGCTGGTGCAGAAATTGATAAATGGGAGACTAACCTGCTGCATAAGCACCAGGAAAAAAATAGTGTTAATAATGGTCAAAGAAATGTAAAATTTAAAGCATGAGTGGAATAAACTTGATGCTAGCTAGCTGGAAGGATACAAAGACCTTGGATGAGAGCTGGCAGAACACAGCAGCCGCTAGAGGGTGCCACGCACACAGGAAACCTAGGGCCTGGGCGGAAGCTGAGCTGCTTGAATTTCCCATGGAAGGCTTTTTCTTCTATTGTGATTTGAGTGAAAGTTTACAAAGCCTACGGGGTTTTTCCACAAGCAATCATTCATGCACATTCTGTTCCACACCAAGCACAGTACACACTATGTCTCATCATCCATTCATCCCACATTCTCCCTCCCTTCACCGTCCCAGTCAGTGTTTCCTGTCTACCAATCTTTTACTCTCTCTCTTCCCCTCTGGCAACCATATCAGATTGATTCTCTGTATGTACACATTTCTCCACCCTTGTCTTATACAGTATTGTCCTTTTGAGACTAATTTCACTCATCACAATGTCCTCTGGACTCATCTACATATTGTAGAGTTTCAGTAGTCGATTGTTTGCAGTGTTGCATAGTACTCCACCATGAATGCACCATAGTTTCTCTATCCATTTATTTGTTCATGGCCTCTTGGGTTGCTTCTAACACTTTGCTATTGCAAATAAAACTGCAGTAAACATGGATGTGCATATATCAGCTTAGTTCTAGAAGTCTTGAGGATTTTTCTGGAAATGTTCCCTCATTCCACATCTTCAAATCCCTCAATGGAGCCATTCCAGTGGAAGAGGTCCAGGGCCAGGACCACTGGCGGAAGTGGCAGTTACTGTATCATGGACGGGCTCTAGATCTTTTCATTCAGCTTTAAAGTCACTACCCTTGACTCCTAGGAGAAGCACTTGGAGGCAGGATACAGGCAGGAGAGGAAGCTCAAGCTGAAGATGGGGCATGTAAAGTGCTGACCCTCCTGCACCTTGGGCTGGTGGTACTCTGTGAGATGAACAGAGATTCCCATCTTCATTGTGTTGACCTGACAAAGGGATAGGACTGCACAGGTGAGACCTTACACACCAGACCAATGTAGAAGGGTGCCATCTTAGCTCTCCACAGCGGCCGTAACAGAAACACCACCAGTGGGCAGCGGTAGCAGAAAGACATTTACTTTCTCACATTTGGGGAGGTTAGGAGTCTGAATTGAGAGTCCCAGCACCAGAGGAAAACATTCCTCTCATGTGATTTATAGCCTCAGAAAACCCACTAGAAGGTCTGCTAGGAGTTTGTTCTGACTTGATACTAACGAATTCGAGAGGTTTTCTTGGGTTTTGTCTCCGTAAGGCCACAGGAAAAGCACTGCTTCCTGCAGTGGCCTCATCTTCCACAAGGTGGCACAGCTTCCAATTAGCAAATTCTTTTGGGGGGGGGGGGCGACGGCCAAATGCCTAGCACAATGCACCCCACTGGAGGGGCAGGAGGAAAACACCTGACTCCTGCCTCTAGCCACCAGATGGAATCAGGAACATCTGGTGACCAGGTTAACACAGATGGAGGGGACAGCGCACCGAGGGGCCACTGGTCCCCACAGGCACGCTGTGCCTACTGTGTAGAACCAAGAGGAGGAAGACCTTTCAGACCCTTGGGCTCCCAGGACGCATGGACAGCTTGATCCACTCAAACTCTCACGCGGAGTCATCAGCACTGAACATAGTCCATCAAGAGCATCTGAAAAGGCCCTGAGAGTCATGTAAACTACTCCGGCTGAAATCTCTGAGACAGGGCTATAGAAGACAGACTGAGTGAAATAAAGACTACCCAGTATTAGACTCCTGGTAGTTAGGATGGTGAAGGTTCAACTGACATGCTTTGGAAAGGTTGTTAAGAAGGGTCAGTGCTTAGAAAAAGACATCATACAGGTAAAGTCTAAGCACAAGAGGAAGACCCTCAACAGATGGATTGACACAGTGACTGTCAGCAATGGGCTGGAGTGTACTGGAGATGATGAGAATGGCAGAGAACAGGGTTCAGATCCGTTGTTCACAGTGTCGCTGAATCATGTTGACACCAAGACCAACAGTACTGGACTAAGACCATGGTCTGGCTGGTGAGGTATGATTCACAAGTCTGGAAAAGCCAAGGAGGCCCTCAACACTTTTGGGAGGACTGGGACCAGATGCAGTGGTTCTGTGGTGGTTGTGGTAGCACAACTGTCCTCTGGCACTGGCTCTTAACAAGTCCAGACAGCCCACAGCAGCCTGCAGCCGCAGCAAACATGGGGTGACTCCTTTAAACAACCCCATCCCACATGCCTCATATAGAATGGCTTATCTTTCCCTTTTACAGCATTTGCAATAAATCACAATTCAAAAGCCATTTTTCTTTTTTTTATTGCTGTTAATTCAAGGAAAAAAGATTGCATAAAATCCAATCTGTTCTAGAAATATAAGTGGCCTTTTCCAGTACATAACATTTCAAATATCAAAGTATATGGTAAACATACAAATAAGGAGAAGGTAACATACCTCCTATGTACAGTACAGTATTTTAAATCATAAAATAAGCTCCCTAAAGTACAACTGGTGAGTGATTCACAATGTGGCCCGGACGTGGCTTATCAAAACTCTCACTTGGACAGCTCAGTGGCACTGTAACAATCAATTTATTTGTGTGGTCTAAAAATACCCAGATCAAATAAAATATAGTTAATCAAAATAATTTCCTTTACTCAAACTTTTCCCCCCTTATTTTTAAATTAAAGCTTTCATCTGCCTCTTCTGCCCACCCCTCCCCATACCCACCTCCCTCTCCCTTGCATGTAAGCTTCAAAGTGTACACTGGTGCTATAAATATAAATTAAACTTCTTTTTTCTTTCAAGTTTCTTTTTTTTTTTTTTTTTTTAGATTTTTCCTTTTGTCTAAGCAATCTGTTAGGCTTCTGTGCCAACACCAAGTATGTCCACTCTGCTGTGCACACACCTATGTGACTCCATACAGCGACACTCGGACACTTCGCTCTGTGCTGAGGGATGGGGCCCAGGCCCGCCTGCCCGTCCCAGCTGACACTCACCCCACCTTCCAGATAACTCAGTGCACTTTCGGAAATAAAAAAATTACCTGGAAGCAACTTAGTACATAGATTGGCTTTAAGAAAACTTTGTCTTTTGAACAGCAGCATTTTAAACTTCGTGACACAGACACGATTAGCGCCACTTCCAGGTCCAGGGCGCTCAGAATGTGGCCGACACAATGACAGGAAGTGGTTTTGCTACCAGAGACGAGGGGGGGCACGAACACCTGACCTGAAGAAGCCACAGCTTCTATTCAGACGGAGAGAAACCATGTGTGTTTTCAACACAAGGGGACACTGTAACAGCTGGCACAGGGAAGGGACACGTTTCTACCTCAGTGGTGTTGGGGACCGTGACACGCAGCAGGCCACAGGACGTCACAGCACGCACGCACAGGGGGCACGGACGACAGTCACACCACCATGGTTGTTTAAGTGTCTCTGCGGCAACAGGCTGGAGGTGGTCACGGGAGAGCGCCGAGTGGGCTTTTCTTTTGTTCTAAGAAAAAGTTGCATCCACCTTGGTTCCCCCGCCTCCCCAGTTTCCACTCCTTCCTCTCCCTTCCACTTGAGTCTGAACACCACGGACTGCATGCGGGTCATGGGTCTCACTTGTCTACACACCTGGGCAAACTTGGCTTCTCCTGAAAGCTGAAGGCGAAGCCGGTTCACCCTCACTCCTTGGCAGGGCCGGTGGCCTGGTGTGGACAAGGCCACCACCTGTCACTGCGAGGACAGGGAGCACGGACATGGGGGGACCAAGGGGGTCACTCGGGAGAGAGACAGAAAAGCTGGAGAACAAGCAAAGCTGTTTTGTTTTTCCCAAAACCTTATGACTGTCACCAGTGTTATTAAAAAAAAGGTCAAATACACAGTTTTCAAGAGTCAGTAAACATCGCACACCGCAAGTATTCAGTGTAAAAAAAAAAGAAAAACAAGACAGACGGACAAAAGCACGCGTCACCATTTCGTTTGATAAGTTTCATATGTTTAAATTACACGTATCATACACAGAAGCCTGTTGTTGAACCAGGAGGCCAGAGGCTCAGAAGCACACCATCGTCTTCCATGCAGACACGGGGACAAGAGACGACGGGCTGAGTGCATAGAAATCTGGGAGCGGCAAACCTCAGAGCCCACCAGGCGGCTGCCCGCCTGCCCCCCAGGGCCCCCACTCCAGGGGCACCCCCACTCCAGTGGGAAGTGGGGCTTGGTTCAGTCTGCAGAATCCAATGGATCATTAGGAGGGGGAGGGGGCGGCGCGTATCTCAGCCTGTAAGTGCCTAAAACGGGAGAGAGAATGGCTAAGTGACCGAGCTCAGCATCGCACCCCAAAAACCACTCTTGCACAGCAAGTGGCCCGCTCCATGACCCTCGACATGCCCTGAGCCACCCTAGCCTGCACCTCAGCACCCCTGGAGCCACCAAATTCGGCCTTGTCTGTGGTGATACCAAGTGCTGACTCCTGACAGAGACTCCCTTCCCTCTGGGGCAGAATGAGGAAGGCCAAAGGCGAGTCAGGCCAGTGGGGAGTGGACGCTAGACTGGGGTCCTGAGTGTCCAAGTGTACTGCTGGCCCCACTGGGCAGACCACACCAGTACCCTAACTCCACCCGCATCAAACAGTGTGACCACTTGCTGGGAAGGGCGGGACAGTATGGGGGTGTCGCTGGAGGCCAGCTGGTTGGTGATGCATAGATAGATGGGGCCACCTGTGGAAACCCTATGTGGTGGATGACTTGATCACGTCCTAGTGTTTTTGGACCCAAAAATTTTGCTCCTGCCACCAAACAGGATGGCAGCTTTATCACGAAGGTGCCACGAGCAAGAACCCGGCCTCTGTGCCTCGCAGATCCCACTATGGTCCCTGGAAAGTGCCTTCAGCTGACTGACCCTTATCGGACACTGTCCCCTCCAAATATCCCCATGTCCAGGGTTTACACTAGCTCTGGATGTGCGTATCTTGCCATCTGTCACCGAGAACAAAACACATGCAGGTGGACACACAGCGGGGACCCCTCTGTGGATGGCGCCCGGCCACTGAGGGGAGCCCCTGAGGCAGCAGGCGGCGGCTCAGAAGCACGTCCTCGGGGTGCCGTCGGGGTTACCTTGCTGCGCGGCCTCGGCTGCCGGCTGCTTGCAGTCGTGCGCATAGTGGCCACTCCCGCCGCAGCTGTAGCAGGACACGCTGCCACTCTTCTTGGGCCCTGAGCCGTTGGTGCTGGCCACTACGCTGGGGGCCGGGTACACCGGGTAGAAGCGCCCGAAGCCCGCCACCTGCTGCATGCCATAGCTGGCTTGGCTCCCCAGGACTGGGTCATGCATCAGTCCGTTTGCATATGGTGTCTGAGGCAGAAAGAAAGGGAGTTGGTTCCCGTTGCTCTGGTGGGCCTGGTTGAGGTAGCTGCCGTTGCAAATGGACGGCAGGGTGAAGAAGGACGGGAGACGGTAGAGCGGGCCTGGCACCGGGCCGGGGTAGTAGTAGCTGCTCAGCTGGACGCCCGCACTGGCCCCGCAGCCACACCTCCGCCCACAGGAGCCGCACGGCCCGGCACCCAGCGGCTGGGGTGCTAGCACCGTCCCTGTGGCCGCGTGGCCTGCGGCGCTGATGTACGAGGTGCTGTCACTCTGTGCCGTGCTGTGTGTCAGGGCCGGGCTGGGACTGGGTGCCGGCCCAGGCGTGTGGGTGGGCACGGCGGGGGGCACATTGGCCTGGACCTGGCCGAGGCCCGCGCTGGCCGGTGGGGCACTCTGGGTGCCAGGGCCCTGGGCAGGCAGCGCGCTGGCGGCAAGGGGCGAGCCGGGCACGGGGAAGGATGCTGGTGGTTGTGCAGCAGCGAGGCCTGCCGCGGGAAGGACCACCTTCACGCTGGCCGCTGGGGGGACCGTCCCTGCGCTGCCCTCGGCGGGAGGCACCAGTGGGTTGAGTCCTACCACTTGGGATGCAGGCTTAGTTCCGGGCTCCGTGGAGGAGCCAGGTGAGCCCGGGAAAGTACCTGGGCTGTGGACGGGGATGAAGGCGGTGCTGGGTGACCCCACGGGGGGCTGCAGCGTGCTCCCCGCGCTGCCCTCCGATGGCCCCTGTGGGGATGGCAGCTTCAGTCTCTGGATGGTGAGGTGCAGGGCAGGGGCACCGCCGTGAGGGAGGAAGGCCGATGGGATGGGCAGGGGCGTGGCCAGCAGCTCCAGGTGCTTCTCAGAGTCACCAGGGGCAGCAGAGGGCCCCAGAAGCCCCACAGGAGTGGCGCTGGCTGACTCCCGCACTGCAGAGATGGCCACGGGGCTGGGGAGCAGCACCCCGATGGCTTTTCCGTCCACAGACTTGGGCGGGGGCACCACCACCTCAGGCTTTGGGGCACCATTGTGCACGACACAGTGTAGCGTTGGCATGAAGGAGAGATGCTGATACTTGGGTGAACTCAGGGCATCTTCCAGGAGGCCGCTGTCCTCAGTTCCCAGAGAAGCCATCTGAACGGGCGGCTTGACAGAACTGTAACCAGGAAACCGGACTGTGGGTGGATTCCCGGAGTCCTCAGAGTTGCTGTCTGTATCTGGGTGGACAAATGGGAACAGAGATCAACTCAAGGCTAAGTCCCACCTTCCTTTCTCGAATCAAAGTGCAAGTTCATTGATGAACTCTGGGGTCTGGAATTGGTGTGCTCCCAGCAGATTCCCTGATGGCCCAACTGCGTCTTTTAATCTTTGGCTTTCAATGGCTCATGAGCATATCCATGCAGCAATTCAGTGGGAAGATGAACAATTCTCAACACAAGAGACTGGAGACTTCATGGAACACAGTACACAACACAGAGGTTCACCCAGTCCCATCGTCACCCAGGGGTTCACCCAGTCCCATCATAACCCAGAGGTGCATATTTCAGCTTTTTCACTTTAATCAACTAGAGACAATACACTTGTTTTATATACCAAAAGCCCAAGTTCTTTATATTTGTCTCATATAATAAGTTAAAAGGCTCGACCAAGACTGTCCTTTAACCTAAATATCTAGAGGAAGGGGACAGAAAAGAGACCAAGTCCAAAAGGGGAAAGAAAAGGGCAAATCAGCATGACATCAGAAACCAAGCGAGCTAGGACACAAGGCCAAAGCCAACATGTGCTCTCAGCCACCGTACCTGGCACCTGATTAGCATCTGGTTCCTGCTACATCACTTTTACGTGGGTGACTTCATCCCAGACTTCCGCTGGGCCTCCTGACGTTAGAATTACCAAGAGGGGGAAAAATCCAACTGTGTGAAGCCCACAAACCCGGGACTGTGCTGATATGCAGAGAACACTCGAATAACGCAGTGTCCCGTTTTCAACATTTCTGCTCATCCATGTCGAGTGACTGTAGTATGTATTTTAAGAGGTTTATACTTATCGGGGTAATAACTGATTCTGTTCTGCTTAAGATGCTCAGTTTTCTAGCAGGACGATACAAAAGACAAATCAGATCCATCTAGGAGAAAGGCTGAACAAAATCTACTCACAGCTAACGTTATTCTTTCAATTATTTTTATTTTACACTAAAGATTACTGTGGTGCAAGAGAAGAGTGTTGAACATACCATGGACTTCCAAAAACACAAATAGGTCTGTCATGGAGAGGGTGAAACCTAGTTTCTCCTCGAAGGCTAGGATTTTGAAGCTCCATCTCACATACTTTGGGCACGTGGCCAGGAGAGACCAGTCCTTGGAGAAGGACATCATGCTCAGAAGGGTGGAGGGACAGCGCAGGAAAGGAAGACCTTGGGTGAGATGGAGTGATACAGTGACTGGGACAATGGGGGTTGGTGTGTTGGAGTTAGTGAGACTGGCTCAGGACAGGGAAGGGTTCAGAGTTGTAGTATATAGGTCGTTATGAGTTGCAGGCAATTTGACGGCACATAAAAACAAAAAAAGATTACTGAGTAAATGGTTCTAGGATAAGCATCTAGTCAGAATACTTCTTGCTAGACTCAAGAAACACACACCCAAAGTGAAATCATTTAGCTAAAGCCTTACACATCACATCACATCACATCACATCACATCACATCACATCACATCACATCACATCACCATTATGCTTGTGCAGGGTCAAAGACTAATATTTAGTACAAAAGAGGCTGTAATACTTTTCAGATGGCAATTAAACTCCTATATGAAATGTTGTTCTGTACAGTCAAGTGAGAACCGACTCCTAACTGAGCCTGGCTTTGCTCCCACTCAGAGCTGAACCTTCAGGGACTGGCCAGCCTTCTCCTGGGGGGTCGCTGCTGGATTTAAACCACAGGCCCTAGGTTAGCAGCACACCTCGCGACCACTAAGCCACCAAGCACTCCCGGACATGAGCTAGACTTTCTATAAAGCTTGTTAAAAATCACAGAGAATCTTGATTTTAAACGGCATCAAGTGGGTTTCTGAACATTTTTTTAAGATTCAATTAATTAGGGATAGATGTCATCTCTTTTGCAGCAGCTTTGGAAAGCACAGAACCTCAAACAGGCAGCAACGAAACTCACCTGTGATCAGTCAAATAGCACCCGCAGGGCCCCTGGCCCCTCAGAGCAGCTTTCCAGGACTCACTATTCTGAAAGTGGTCAGTGCCCTCGGCAGGTGTCCGGTCACTCTCACTGCCACTGAGTCAGGATCTACACACAGCTGACCTGCCGCGCCACCACCCTCCGCCCCTGGGCTTCCAAGGCCGTAAATCCCATGAGAGGAGCTAGCTCATCTTTCTCCCCAAGCGACACTGGTGGCTTTGATCCACCAGAGGCCTGGCCTATGGATTAGCAATGCAAAGCCCTACAGATCACACCAGAGCTCCGTAAATGAGCCTTTCACTTAGGAATGGCAGAGCCATTCTAGAAAGGGACAAAGTCCATGACAGAGGTCCACTAACTGATGACACTCTTGTATTACAAGAGAAAAGGTGCTGCAGCATCCCCTGAGCACGCCACAACACTCAAATGACGCTGAGGCTACCCGCCTTGTTGGCCACAGGGCTACCAACCTGGTCACCCACAGATAGCCCACCAACAGCACTCCAATGACACCAAGGCTGCCTCCCTTGTTGGCTGTGGGGCTACCGACCCGCTCACCCACAGGTCAGCACTCCACAGCCCTCTGATGACACTGATGGGGTTACTGCTACCCGCTCACCCACCGGTCAGCAGATCACAGCCCTCCAATAACGCTGACACCACCTGTCCTGTCAGCTGTGGGGCTACTGACCCGCTCACCCACAGGTCAGCACACCACAGCCCTCCAATGATGCCGAGTCCACCTCCCTTGTCGGCCGTGGGACTACTGACCCGCTCACCCACAGGTCTGTGAAACGGATACGCTCACAGCTGGTCTCTCCCTGGTGGGCAAGGCACGGGAGGCACTCATTTAGCCTCCACAACCGTCCTGAGAGCAGTGTGTTCATTTTTCTCTCTCAGGAGGGAACTTCAGGTCAGAAACAAGAGGAGAACTGGTGATAGTCATCACACGCTACAGTGTTTTGGGATGAGCACAAAATAACTACAAAGCAGATGACCTGTAATTATATGTGATTAGAGCAACAATGTTGCCACAGTGTTACAGACAGAACCTATGACGGGAAGAGCTCAGACTGCACCTGGAGAAACTACGCTCTCCTGACGTGCTCAGGACTAGAACATGGTGACCAGGACACGCTCTGCCCCGTCCAGCTAGGTGCACCTCATGCCCAGGCGTCACTGCCATCAGCAATCACTCCATTCTCACTCAATACTAGATGGAGGAGAGGGGACCCCACCCAGCCCCTGCCCTTAATACTCTCTCCCACAGAAGCAGTAAGAACACTGGGGGGAAAGTCAAAATCTATTTTTGTCAGAGAACTGGGTATTTTTTTTTTTCCTCAATAAATATTTCTTTTTCAAAGACCAGCAGTTGATAGAAGTTTGGTTGGCCACAATACCAACACTGTATTCTTCTTCTATCTATGGAAGACTCAGTGAGTCATATAGGGATGATTTTTTAAAAAATCTAACTTTTAAGTTAGATGACCTTTTGTGAAAACAATTCAGGTGACCAAGCACTGTCAGCTTCAGGCACTGAAGGTCGCCAACTTTCTGAAAACGGAAGGCAACATTTGACTTCTGAATGTGAACCAAGTCCAATAACGGAATCGCATGCAGTCCAGCCTGAATATTCAGGTTTTTGGTTTTTAACTATTTTTATAATCTTATTTTTGAAATGTAACTCATTGTTACCTAACCATTTATCTGTTCTCTGTTCAGCATATTTTAATTTCTTTCTTGGTAACTCTTTCTGATCAGGGGAATCACAGGTAGCAAGGCACCTTCTTAGACCTAGGGTTTGGAAGTGATTATGTGAAAGAAATTCTTTCTTTGTGGTTGGGGGAACCCATTCATCAATATCCGCCTCGATGCACTCAGCATTAGGATAGGGGCTGACAACCACTGATTGTGTAATCCCAAATAAAATAGGACTTTTGGATCTTCTGGGGCCTTCTGGGGTCGTTTGCTGTATATCAATTGTAGAGAAAACCCTTGTATTTTTATAGTTAGCATTATGATCTGAATTAAAAACGGGTAATTTTTCGAAAGCACTTTTTATCCCATGAATTCTTGTTTCGTGGAATCTTGCAACTGGGGTTGATTGTGAATATGGAACAAAATCTAGGCTATCTTCAAAATCACATTCTGAATCTGACTGAAAAGGAGGTGGTGAAGAGCTTGTTCTTGGAAACACAGAGGCGGATACATTTTGCATAGTTAATCTCTGTAAAGATTGCCTTGAGTTTTGAGAAAGGGATCTCAGTGAAAAATCAGATTCTGCATGATGACTTTCTCCCAAAGTCTTTTCCCACTGTGAAATATCCTGCGAGTTTTTAGTATTTTCTGCTGCAATGTCCATTTCTTTAGTACTAACATCAAAGAGTTCAGCTGAAGCATTATAACTACGTTCATCACCAGAATGGATCTGTGTTACATTTTTATTGGTAGCCCCATAAGACATTTCTTTCAATATACTTATACTTGCATTAATTGTACTTTTATTTGGACTATTACAACAAGGTTCTGAAGGATATGTAAGTTGTCTGCAAATTTTAAAACTGTCATCTTGGTTCTCTGGCCACCTATAGTAAAGTTTCTTTTCCAAGTTGCAAAGAAAAGAAACATTACACTTTTTAGAACTTGAAGATGTCAATTTTTCACTCATTTTAAAAAGCATTTTTTTTCATTAGTACATTTGACAATCAGAAAAGAATATTTACTTTCTGAAGTACTGAGCTGGGGTGATATTTTGGTCCTATGTGGTTGGATTCTGGCTGTCACGGCTTCAAAATATTTGGGAGATGAATATACAGTGGGTACAGAATCATTTGGAAGAACATGATTAGAAACATCTCTTCCATTAGGACTTACAGAGACAGTCTCTGTTATCTGGCTGTGACTCTTGGAGAACATGATTTGGGTTTGCATCACACTTCGTAAGGGTGTTTTTCTCAAAGTTTGCTTTGCCTGTTGGTTGTGATGGTCTTAAAGCTATAGGTGCTGCATATAGGGTTCTAGTAGTTCTCTGTGGAGTGACAGAAATCTTGCTGCCATCTTCATGTAATTTGTCAATGTCAATGTCTAGAGAACACTTCCTACTCTTGGCATCTGTGTGGGTTACAGCAACCTCACTTTTGACAACTGCCAGAATCTTGTTCAAGCTTTCGGAGAATGGCAGATCATCCCAGATCTCAGGGTCACAATCCTGGGACTCATCAGCCGTTTCTTTAAGCTTGAGTGACGAAGGTGAACGAAGTGCAGCTTTCTCTTGGAGAACAGGGGTATCTGCATCAGGATGCTGACAAAATATTAGCTCAGGTTGGGAATACTTATTTTTAATTTTCACTGCACTGTGGAAGGACTCAGTATTGCTTGGCTCAAGAGACTCTTGCACTCTCAGAGACAATAAATTAGGGCCAGTAACTCCAATGTCACGATTATTGCTGCAAACCACACTCACTTGATTAAACTGTAAGCCAAGTTCTTCACCCAACTTTTCTGCTTTACTCTTTTTATCCATATATGAAACAAGGCTCCATGAATGCTGAAAGGGATCATGGTAGCTGTTGGAACCAGGGGCCTCTGCAAAGGAGATACACTTTCGGTTTTGGTGAAGATTAACTGAGGTTGAAAAACCATTAACATCTGTTAGCTGCGAATCAATGGAAATGAGTTCAAGTGATGGCTCCCAGTATCTTGAAAATTTATCTTTGTCAGAGGGCTCCAAAAAACAAGAACTGCTGTCAGAATCAGATATGCTGCTGATAGCACTATCTGAGTGACTTAAAGCAAGTACATAGCTACTTGCCTGGGAGTCAAGGTGAAGTTTCCTTAAGTTGAAGGCTGCAGAAACTGATGGAAGAAGTCAATAACGGTGAAACCTGCAACACTTGGGTCTGGCAAAAGAATCTGGGAAGCTACCAGTGCTTTAACTTCTCTCTTGCAGTCATGGAAGTGCTGTAAGAAATTGTTGCAATCTGAGCCTTGGTTTTCAAAATTCGTCACTCCAAAAATAAAGCTTTGTCCAACAAAGCACGTTTCAACTGCTTTAGTTAATAGGTTCTTAGCTGTATCACTGTCCAGTGTTTCAGGAATTTCATCAGAATTTTCAATGTACCTGTGCAAAGCAGTGGCAGTAAGACCAAAAAATGTATCTAAACAGCTTCCAAAGACAGTAATGCTAAACAATTTACTTGACTCTGCAACTTTTAAGGGAAGTTTATATCTGTAACTGACATTTTCAGCTTCTCCACTAGAGCCATATTTTGGACAGTTAGACCTGGGGACCAAAGAACCTGCCCGGACACATCACAGCAGGAACTGGACACTCGCAGATGCTCTTCAATTGAATCTCCCAGAACTGGGTATTAACTAAAAGCACACAAGTCAAAAGTTAGTCAGAACAGCAAGTCCCATGACATTTTAATTTGCCCTAATCACATTCTCCTTAATCCAACTCAAAGTTAGTTTGGGATGAAATAGTCCTTTGGGGTTTTGAATAAAGAAGAAAGTGTAAGACAGACAGAAATCAAACTTCAAAAGGGTGATACCAACTCCTACCTTGTCAGCAAGCACATTAAATGTAAATGGTTAACACAGTCACATCAACCAAAGACCCGAGAATGGCAAAATGAATGAATCGTAATTTAAAAAAAAAATCCAACCTTATGCCGTTTACGAGAAGCACATTTTAGATTCAAAGTAAGAAGGCCCAAGACACTCTGCTAGTGACAGGGCGGATGAGGATAATATTGAACAGAACTGTCAACCCATCGGGTACAAACACAACATATGCACCCAGCAATGGACCCATTTCAGTCTTTCCATACTAACTCTGGATTTTGTTATGACAATTTAATTTCATGTGCAGTTAAGTTCAACATTGCTAAGAAACTGGATGTAAGAGAACTTTTGTACTGATTAGCCGTAAAGTTAGTGACGACATAAACTGCCTGTGAGAGTGTGCTTTCTCCCCATCCTGCTCCAGCTCCCGGTGCCCCACGAACCTCTGTCTTTCTCTTCTTCACTCTCGAAGCTTTCTCTCTCATCGTGGCGGGGGCTGGACGGAGAGCTGTAACTCTCGGAAGACGTTTCTCCACATGTATCATGTCCAGATCCGATGTCCAAGTTCACATCTGAAAATAACAACTCAAGTTTAAAAAAAAAAAAAGAAGAAGAAGAAATCAGGCCAAGTAGTTAAGTTACCTTTGGAACCAAATCATCAGAGATGAGCTGTAGCTCTCAGGTGTGCATGTGTATATATGCATGTGTGTGTGTCTATGTGCAGACGTGTGTGCATGTGTGTACTGCCTGTGTTGTTATTCGGTTGCTGTGTACTGTCCGGTAGGACTGGATCCACAGTTGACCCTGCAGGACGTTTCTGAGGCATGAATTCCACGAGCGGTCACAGTTCATCTTTCTTCCACGGATTCAAAGCATGTGCCTTTGGGCTGGCAGTGCAGCTCTTTACCACCAGGCCACCAGAGCTCCGTGTATGTGTGTAATTTGTGTTATTATGTGTGTAGTGTGTTACGTGGCTACGTGGGGTGTTGGTGCTGAATGCTGTCGAGTTAGAACTGACCACAGTAAATTGCAGTTACCTCTATGGAGCTGCTGGTGGATTCGAACCACGTGCCTTGGAGACTGCAGCGCAGCTTCTAACCACTAGACTACATCGGCTCCCTGTATATCTGTGTCGTGTGTGTTGTTATGTGTGTTACGAGTGTAGTGTGTATGTGTGTGTTCTTTTTCGACAGCCATCTAAAAAGCCTGTCCCTGTCCTAGGGGAAAATTCACTATGAAAACAGTGGGTAGACACATTCTTAAATGGTGGCGATGACCCAGTTAGCCTGACTGGCCTTAGGACCACGCTGGACATGGTGGACCACGTCCTCCACAAGGTCCCCTGTGGACACATGGAAAGACTTGTGCCCAGAGTCTCCGCTGGAGCAGAAAGGGGTTTGAGCAGGGGCCGGGCACCAGCAGAGGGGAAAGGGGGCAGAGATGGAACTGCGCCCAAGGGTCCGCCTCGTGGCTGCAGTATACTGTCCCTCCGAACTCCGTTCCAGTGTAAAAACAGCTCTGTCAGCGCAGTGGCGAGCCTGCTCTCCGGAGTGGCCCTCGGCACCAGGTTGTGAGGTGACGGATGCTGAGGGACAACCCCCCGCTTTACCTCTCCCAGCGCCGTCCAGAGCTCGCAGGGGGGCGGAGAGCCGGAGTCCATTCATCCCACTTGTCAGTCTGTTGTCAGCTTTCGGAATCTTCTCCCTAAACCAAACATACACGGGTCACTGACACTTTCCATGGTGACCTGAATGACTGACACAAAGTACAGTGTAGGCAAAATCCCCTCAAAATTCTCGCAAGTTTTTTAGTACGATATAACTTAAGTGTAAAAGATTCACCCTTTTTAAGAGACAGTTCTGAGAGCTGTGTCCCTCCTAACAGAAATTTCTATCTGGTAATACCTTTCTGACCTGTGTACATTAATCAACATTTTGAATTAAGTAAGTAAAAGTCAAAATAAAAGGAATTGTGCAACAATGATTTTTTTTAACGAGAAAAGCAAACTGGGGCGGGGGGGAGTAGGAACAAAAATGTGCAACAGGGAATGAATAGAAAGTCAAGTTTTCTGTAAACTTTGGTTAAAATCACAACAACAACAAAAATTTTAAAAAAGGAAAAAACCTACTGGGAAGATACTATTTATACACAAAGCAAGCATCCTGACTTTAGGAAACGTGAGTCCCCCCTTTCCCTTGCGTTACCCCTGAGCTTGTTAAACTGAGCCTACTCCTGACACGAGTCCAGGACGAAGGCTGCACAGTGGCGTGTACTGAGGAGGGGGGGGACTGTATACCAATGAAGGAATTTTTCTTTTACTTTTCAAAGAGAAGAGCAAACTTGGGGGGGGGGGGGGAAGGGGTGCGCAGGGAGAAAAATGCAACAATGAATAAATGGAAATCCAAAGTCTCTATAAACTTTCATTAAAATTAATAAAGGGGAAAAAAGTCAACTGTACCAGGATTTAAAAAAAAAAAAAATTGAACCTACTTTTCTCCTGGTGGGTTTCCTTTCTTCTTATTTTCTGAAGAAAGTTTCCACTTGTCGGGTGAATGCTGGCACGGAAAATCAAAAAGGAAGCAAACAAAGTTAACACCATTAGGAAGGCACTGCCTATTCCGATAATAAACATTGAAACACACATTCCAAATTGCCTATCAGAATACATTTTTATTTTTAACTTATGTTGAAGCCATCCACATAAAAAAAAAAATGAAATTTTGCATTTTAAGTGACAAATAGTTCTTAGTTATGAGAGAAATATCTGTTTCTAAGATGCTTCTACAATGGACTCTTATGCTTTCTTCTGATCACAAAACAAGAAAGCGAGTGGCAGTAACTTCAGGTCTACCAGTATTCTCTAAAAGCACAGGTTGGTAGAAATGTCAACACAGATGCTTTTTTTTGCTAACAGGCCTTCAAGTCAGTATGACTGAGGCAATTCACAATGCTTTAAAATGTGCTTTAAAGCTTTAGTTCCTAGAGACACAGGCCAGGATGGGTTAACATTTGGATTTCAGTGCTGGTCGGGACAAAATTAGGTTAACGGATTCATTCTATAGAGAAAGGTTCTCTTTACTCTAGCTATGGTATCATTTCCCTCCCCACATCTGTACTTCCCAGTTGTAATGACTTGAGAACATTCTATTCTCTACCCCCAGGTCCTGAGAAAGCAAGTACTTGATTCCAGAGAGCCAGGAACCCAAGTCTGACTTGCAATTCATGTCACCAGAAGCAAGACAGTGATAGAGACACAAACAATTACCCCAACAGGAAGGCTGGTGGATCAGCAACTCGGTCTGGTTAAAACAGGTGGCTGTGCACCGTCGAGTCGGAACCAGCCCAGAGCTGACCCTCCAGCGGGTTTGCAGAGGCAGTTAATCACATGGGAGAAGACTGCCCCTCCTTCTCCCGCAGAGCAGCTGGTGGCCTCAAACCACAAGCCTTCAGGATTGCAGAGCAGCTTCTTGCCACTAGGCCAACAGAGCTCCGCAAATAAGCAGGTTAGGCGTCCTATTAAAGTACACTAAATTTACATGAACAACAATAAAAATAAACTTGTTTTATTCTCTCCCTAGTTTTGAGCTCAGAGGCGCTTAGACCATAGAGAGCAGTGTACAATTTAATATTTCCACATTCCTTCATTGCTTTCTGCCAGAAAGCCCACAGAACTGGCTTTTCTTCCAAGTGCTAATACCGCAGTAACCAGTCAACGACAGCCCCGAGCCCCTGTACCTGGTCGGCTAAGGCGGCACAGCGCTCCAGGTGCTGGACGGCTGGCGGGCTCGGCTTCCTCCAGTCCACAAGCCCGTTCTGCTCAGAATGCTGTGTGGCCAGCTCGTCCAATGGAGAGCAGCTCGTCCCAACCGTGCTAGCGAAGGAAACGTCCACATGGCATCAAAGGGGGACAACCTGTCCTCAGGGGGCTGCCACCCCCCCCCCAGTTCTGTACAGAATGGAGTGGCAGCACTAATGCTAATTAATTACATAAAACATAATGCATATACATGTACAAAATTACATATGTAAACTATATCCAAACCAATAAAAAATATTAAAGAAATAACATTTTTAGGGAGAAAAATGGTTAACACTTATTTCACAGTTAGCCCTTGTCTCTAGAGATAAGTAGTAAACCCTCTCTATAAAACCGCTTATGTGTCTCAGCAGTGTGTTCTCTCTTCAAAACCAGGATGTGAAGGGACAGGACAATGTGACTGAAGACAAAGCAGAGACCTGGTCAGACCCATATGGGGAGCTCAGGGACACGGGCGTTGGAGTGACCGCGCTTAACCAGCTCAAACAGTGAGAGAAGCTTCACCCTTCGGGAAGAATGGAAAATGCCACAAAGAACAGTAAAAAGAAAACACACGAGCAACTCAATGGATGGAAATAGAGAAAATACGGTGAGAAGAAAACAGGTGACTGAAGGATTGAGAGGTGGAGAAAAAAGGGGGAGGGAAGAGTTTAAAAGTTATGAGGGGCCTGGTGACAAGTCCAACATCCAAGGGCTGGGAGTCTCAGGAGGGAGGGAGAGAAATGACTTGACATTAGCTAGAACTTTCCTCAGGTCAAAGACAAGAAGCTACAGATTTTAGCTTAAGAGGCAGAACTAATGCCAAGAAAATGACAAAGCAGATGACATAAAAATCAATTTTTAAAGCCTTAAGAGCAATCAAAGGTGGCAGGGAAAGATCATAGCACCCCCAGAGAACACAACACGGACAGTGACAGGGTCAGTGCCTGCTGGGCATCGGGAGTCCAAGTGCCGTCCTAAAACCGAGGAAAGGCATGATTCACAAGAGAGGGAATCCCAGGAGTGGAGAGTACGAATGGAAAGTGGGCACAAAACTGCTGGATCCCCTGAGCAGGAAGGTGACCCTGGTGGATAGAAGCCTTTCACTTCTGGGCAGTGCCTGTTTGAAGGCCACACAGAAGCAGAGGTCTGGGGGCATGTGCAGTAAGGCAGGCCTGCCGGGGGTTTGCGTGAGCTGACGCAGCCATCCACTGCCTCCACAGCCAAGCTCTGGGCCGAGAGGCCAGCAAGCCAGTTTCAAGGCATTAACAGAGAGCAGCTGCCCACCTGGAACCCTAGAACCAACAAAAATGTCTGTAACAAAGCAAAGCAAAGCAAACCCTTTTCACAGATTGAAAAAACAAAAACCCAGATGAATTTATCACAACAAATCAACAAGAAGGAGAATAATCAAAGATGAATGCTCACAAATGTCATTTCGGAAGGAATGAAAAACATGGGATGGGCACAGCCCAAGAGACTCCTGGGAAAAAGCTTCAAATGGACACAGAATCACATGACAGGTGTCATTTATTAGCTGGGAGAGGAATGACGTTACTGTGATCTAAGGCCCTCAGATTGTTTGAAAAATAATCAACGTCCAAATTAATATGAGACTTTACTCAATCAAAAATGCTAAGAGGATGTCTCAGACACTGGCAACCACTGTAGGAGGAGGAAATCTGTGTAGAAAAGTCAAGCCTGATAGTAGAGAAAACAGAATCAAAGGGGATCGGGAACCTGAGGAAGGTCGGAAAAATCAAAACCAAGCAGCAACAAATATCAGTAATTAAAATGGGGTACTGATTTTAAAATGTATCCATGTGAGGTTGAGGAATTCGATACCTACTTCCCGGTGGGGCTCTTCCCGGCATGCTTCTTGTGGACTATGGTGTGCTGTATCGTATCTACAGGAGGAAAGCAGTTCACGTATGAGACAGAGTCTTCCAGCAAAAACCCAACAGGATGTTGCTACCAACTCATGTGGCTCTGAGAACTCGGTGGTAATCGCTGCACTGAGGGCTTTTACCATTTTCTCAACAGAGACGATTTCTAAAACAAGCCATTTGCCAAAGACAAAACGAGCGGCTGACTTCCCTTAACAGCCTCTCCAACGTGTCACTGGAGAGGAAACAGATCTCTCTACCACCACTCACCATTTGAGCCAAGGCCACCCCTGCAACACCACAACTAAGAATTTTAGCTAGAACTTTATTTCACACAATTAAAAAGGTCAAGTGTTTAAAACAGTGAGAACACATACATATTTAGTAATACAACAGGTAAACAACGAGACCACTCCCAGATTTCACTATTCATGTTTTCCTTATAAAAGAAACAAACACATCACAGAAACATCAAGGCCTTCCTCCACTGCACTCACCCCTTCTACAGAAGTTAGCCATCAACTCTTCCCTGGGACATTAAGCAACACAGTGCAGGCTGGTATCTCTGTTAGCCACATGCATGTTCTTATAACTAAGTACAGAGTTCATAAATACTTAATGTTTGGATATCATATATATGCAAGCAACATACATTGTGCGTTTTAGCCAATTGTGGTTAACAATTTGCTATCTGTGGGCATGTTATTTAAGCATTTGTGATGAGAGAGAAAAAATAGTTTATGTCTAAATACCCTTTAATGTAATGGTCACTGACCATTTAATGATCATATAGTTTACTTCTAGTTTTACCAATATTTAAAACACATATGCTATCATGATCATAGAACTGACTTATAATTTTACTAGCATTTAAAGCACTTAGGTCGGTTCTAAGTTTTTACTGTCTAGCATCCCTCTGTACACACTCACGGCAGTTTTTAAAGCAGGACTAATGGACAGCAGCATCGGATATCTCCAACTTTACTACACAGAGCCAAAATTCTCTCCAAAAATAGTTGTAACAATTTATCCTCCCATCAGCAGAGGAGGAGAGTTCCGTTACTCAGCATGCCTGAGAATGCAAGACTTAGAATTTTTTCCCCCTAATCTACTGAGTGTGAAATGATCACTCAATCGTAAAAAGCTGTGCTACCAAGCCAAAGACAGGAAGATCGACTCCTCTATCTGCTCTGACAGAGAAACACAGGCAATCTCCTCCTGATTTACAGCCTCTGAAAACCCTCTGAAGGCTCAGCTCTGAGTTGGTTCTGACAGGACAGCAATGAGTACTAGTCAAGCTGAATACCATTTACCGCCCATTCAAACTGTCTTCTTACATGAATCGTCAATGTCTCTAAAATCCACAATCCTATGGGGTTGATTTTCTCACTGATTAACAGGAAGCGCTTTCTGTAGTTACAAAGCAGTTTTTCCATTTACTTGTAAACATGCAGCAAATAGATTTCATTCTATGACTTGACTTCTATCATTTCTTCCGTCATGTGTAAGCTCTAATTTAAATTAGTAAATAATATAATCATGTTCTGCCTTGCTTAAGACATAATCCTCTCCTAAATCTCTTTTCAAGGTTTAAGTTTTATATTTCCTACATAAGTTGTTACCCATTTACAATGTATGCAAACAGTGAGTAGAGATCAAATATACAAGCATTTCTTTTCCATGTGGGAAAAGCCAGTTGTGCCAACACCACTCACTGACGGTTCCCTTCTCTCTCCACTTATTTATAATGCTCCCTCTGCCCTACTCCAAGCTCTCCTATGTCTGTCGGCTCCTCAATCTCCCGACGGTCTACCCACCCAGCCCTGACCCAGCACCTTCCAATGAGTCAGCATTTACCTTCCTCCTGACTGGAAGCTCCTGAGCTGTCTTCTTTTAAGTGTTCTAGTATCTTCGAAGTCTTCAGAGAGGACTGCAAGTTATCTGCAAGAAATAGTCAATACTGCTAACTTCTTAAGAAAAGGACAGTAGATTTACATAATAATTTCCCCTCCTAGAAGACAAAAGTAGAGGCCAGTAGTAGAGAGAAGATTTCTACTTGTCAGACCCTTTAGGAAAGCAGGACGGCAGAGCATGATGCTGACGAGTGGAGCCCGCGTGCCCCACTCATCCCACCACAGCCGCCAGCCTGGGTGCCCACAGGAGAAACAAGGACAGTGGGCTGGACGGTGCTCTGTCAGTCTATGGTGGGCAGAGCTGTTGTTTTGGTTTTTAATCTCCAATTTGTTGTGGGCTTCTGTTACTTCTGCAAAATATATAACAATCATGCCGCAGTGAGTCCATCGAGGGAACTGTCAGACCTGAGGGTGCTCTTAGAAAGTCTTACACTTGCAGTTGATGAGAAACTGGCAAACTTTATTATAAAGGAAGGCTGAGAAAGACATGCATAATGATAAACATAAGACGAACCAGACCGGGCCTTCTGCTGTAACACGAAGGCAAAAGTGAACTTGGGAAATGTAAAGAACACTGGACTCTCACATGTTACAGAGAGTTCACCTGAGGGTGCAGAGGAACAAAGACCCTGGGCAGAGAAGGGCAGGGGCACCGAGCAAGGACAGCATCCTCGAGCGGCCAGAGCACAGGGGGTCAGGGAGGAAGTTCACAGCATGGCTGGGATTTCAGATCAAGGGAGCAAATGAGGACTAACCATCAAATTGAATTCTGAGCTAATCCTGGGACAGGGTCACATGGGGAGAGTGGAGTCTGAGAGAAGGGCTAGGCTCTGGAGAGAACTAGCTTATGCACCAAAGTAAGGTCTCATCTACAACAACAGGAAAAAATAGTAAGATACACTCTGTGTAGCCAGCTTGGCCTTTAAATCTCAGATGGATTAGAAGAGGAAAAGGCAGCTAAGGTTTCAGCCGGACGCGGTGGGAGGACGGGAAGGTCCTTTAACGGGGACAGGGATCGCAGGAGGAAAGGTGGATGACAGAGTACACATCATAATCTATAGTATGTACGTATATCACATACATATATACATCACAGTATCTCTCCAATCAGTAAAACTGCTCGCTCTGAGAACAACTCCAGGATCAAGCAAGCCCAAAAGCTCACACTTAGTTAAAACTTGTCTTAAGCTGGTCAGTTTTGTTACATTAGTGTTCCTTCATTATTTTATAAACAACTGCAGCACCAAAGCCATTAAAAACAACACAGATCTCAAAATTATATGCCACTGGTCCTTGGCTTTAATGGAAAGGGCAACCAGGCAAAGCCAAAGCCAGGGGCAAAAGCTGGATTTACAGAGAGGCACCGAGGATGCTTACTGAGGCTGTGCAAAGACTCCGAGGAGATGGACTGGAAAAAGCTGTGGACCTTCTGACTCTGAAGAAAAGCTTGTGAGGAAGTTGAAAATAGCTGCCTGTGGGGAGAGAAAAAGAACATTTGTTAATTTCACGGACCAGAAACACACTGGGCGCCCAGTGCAGAGTAAAAGGCAAAACCAGACAGAGGCTTAATGCAGGTTATTAGAAGTCTGTTTCCACACCCCTGAAGAAAAGAATATTACTTTTTAAGGTATTTCCTTTAGGAGAAACTATGTTTGCAAGAAAATATTATTCACGTGTTTTGGTTTCTTAAAATTATCTACTCTAATGATAAGTTTCAATTTTGGCAAAAATGTCTTGTTGTGGCTGCCTGTCTGCTCAGAACACAGCACAGTTTCTTCCCCCTTCTCCACAGGTGCGTCCTTCTGTCACCTGGCGGCCCTCTGCAGGAACCCTCCCAGGCTGAACCTAAGAGGCTGGACGTTTGAGTACTAAGAGTCTTGGAAAACATGGAACCCAGTGGTCAAAGCACATCTTTGATTTGTATTATCCAGCATTACTACACCCTAAGGGGGGGGGGGACTAACTTGTTAATTCTCCTTCAGTGTCTATTATAACATCATTCCAAGTTCTATTATTGTTGAAAACCAACTTTTCTCCTATTTTATAAATGCACTGAAAGGATTCCAACTGGAAGCCTTCATTCCAGTGGTGCCCAAAAGAGTCTTAGGCACAGTTACTGACGGGCCTAACTAAAACTTGACTCATGGATTTGAATATCAACCAGTTCAACAACTTATGAGCTGACGCGCCCTAAGTAAGTGTCCTTAACCTTTCAGACACAATTTCCTTGTAGGGGACACGACCAATTCTTTAAGTCTCAAATAGAATATACTGGCATCCCGCATAAGATCTGAATATTCAAAATATAAATTAATCTCTTCCATTACTGTGAAATCCTTTTTATTTAAATGTTCAAGTCAAATTTTAATTAATTTTTCCACTTCTCCCCAAGGTTTTAGATTCAGATTAATGGTAAAGTTTCTTGTACATGAGGTGAAATGATTTACTGGCGGCAAACACAGAGGTAAACATTTAAGGGGGAAGCTTGCAGGAGGAGAGAAGTGGTGGGTGCAGTGGGGCTCCAGTTCTGACTCCAAGTGACGGGGCAGAAGTAAACGCATGCCTTCAGCTCACGCCTGCGTGCAAGGACTGTCCACACCTTTGGCTCACACCTGACTTCCAGCATCTGTCCACACCTTTGGCCCACACCTGAGTGCCAGCATCCGTCCAGACACCACCTCTGATTCCAAAAGCCAAATCCACACACCCCAGGTCACTTCTGGCTCCGGGCAACCCTCCACCTGGTGTCCAAGACTGGCAATCCTAGTGGGAAGAGCTTGTCCATCTTGCTCCCACAGAGTGGCTGGTGGGTTTGAGCTGCTAACCCTACCGTCTGCAGCCTGAAACTTAAACCTACATAACATCACCACAATCATTCAAATCGACAACTGGTATTCATGATACTTAATGCGTAACTTCAAGACAGTAACTATCCCGACAGAAACAAGAGTGGCTCAGAGCACTTATCAAAAGAATAAAAACAGGGTTACATTCTTATAGGACAGAAAAGCACCCAGCCTTCAGATGCGTATTTCATTTTCATCTTCCTAACTTCAGCACTTCTGGGACTGAATGCATTGTGCCCGATGCCAAGTTACGGCCAGCCCACTTAGAAACAAATTTGCTCCTTCTCACTTTCACTGTCTCCCCCCTTTCATTAGAATAGTTGCATTTTCTTAAGCAGCACTTGTCACGATGAAGAGGAGGAGGATGATGATGATGACACTGAACTGTAAACCAAACCACGGCTGTCACCTCAACTGTGACTTCCAGCCACCCTACAGGACAGAGCAGACTGTCCTGGAAGGCTCCCAAGGCTGTCATGGAAGCTGACTGCCACATTGCTCTTCCTTGGAGCAACTGGTGGGTTCAAACCATCAACCTTTTGGCTAATAACTGGGGGCTTAACCACTATGCCATGAGGGCAGCTCGGATGATGCTATTATCTAAAATTCAGAAACTGAACTTTTAAGAATCCTGATCTTGGTAACACTGTTAGAACCAAAGGCCAATCATCTGCTACCATCTTCTCCATACCAAAATTAAATGTAAAGAAAGATTTCAAGAGAAAAAGGAAACACCAGAAGAAAACATTTAAAAAAAACACCAACCCTAAAAAAACAAACAAACAAACAAAAAAACCACCAACTCTGAGGAGGTGGTTCTAAACTGGCACAAACCTGAGAGAAAAGCACACAAACCAACTGTGTGTTACCTACCCCTTTGGGTGGATGGTGTTACTGCTCCTGATAATTTTTAATTAAACTCGGTTTTGTAAGAAAGAAACTAATTTTAGTATCTGTGGAGAATCTGAGCTTTATCTCCCCTTGATCAACAGTGCACTTATCTTTAATCATCTAGATTTCAGTTCTGCTTTAATGGTTTCCAAGAGTCAAGAAAGCAAAAGATATGCTTGATTGGGCAAAACAGCTGTCAAAGACCTCTTTAAAGTGCTAAAGAGCAAGGATGTTAAAGACTAAGGTGTGCCGGACCCAAACCATGAGGTTTTCAGTTGCTTTGTATGCATCTGAGAGTTGGACAATGAGTAAGGAAGATCAAAGGATTACTGTTGCCTTTGAATTGTGTTGTTGGCCATGGAGACTGGACATACCATGGACTGCCCAACAGCGAGATCTGTCTTGGAGGGAACACAGCCCCGGTGCTTCTTCAGAAACAAGCTCGGTGAGACGACTCTGGGCATGTTATCAAGAGGGGTCAGTTCTTGGAAAAGAACATCATGTGAGGACAAGCAGAGGGGGAGCAAATGGGAGGCTGGCTCTCCTCAAAGCTGACACAGTCACTGCACCAAATGCTTGAGCGCAGCAGACTGTGAACACGGGGTGGGAGGCGGCAAGGTTCCCATCCACCATACGGAGGGGGGCTGGGAGTCCAGGGTCAACGCGAAAGCACCTAACAGAGAGAGTGTGTGACACTTTAAAAGTCTTCCATACTCACACCAGAAATGCCATCTTTTCTGCATAGGTTTTCAATCTTTATGGATTTTGAATTTGACACAGGGCTCCAGTTACTTTTTTGCTCCACAAGGGCTACTGAGAAGTAGCTGACATTTCATGGTCTGGGGATGAGTGTACCTTGAACAAAGACTGACAGACCTAATACAGGACCTGAAAATCAAAATCCACTTAAAAAATCTAATACAAAAGATAATGAGTTAATATTAATCTCACTGTAATTCAGGGAAAAATGCTGAGATACAAAAAAGATGAACTGGCAAAGAAGAGACTCTCTCACAAACTCACAAATGCCTAACCTTGGAGAAAGATGTAGATATCACTAATAATGGAAATCAAGCCACTGAGATAATCATCCTGCTAAGTTAACAGTATCTTTACAGTGATACTCAAAGCCAGCCAGCTGGTGGTGAGCTGGCCACTGCCCCTGGCAGTGTCTGCCACTCTCCTAACCTCATTCAGGGCCACTGAGTCACATCCTCCCATACAGACTATAAACAGCAGGAGAAGAACACTCATCTTTCTCCCTTTAAGACTCTGGTAGATTCAAACCATCAGACACACAGCACACAGCATCCTAAGAACTGCTGTCAGACATCATCCAGTTGACTATGAATCACAGCGACCCCATGAACAGCAGCTCTGAACCTTGCCCTTGACAATGACTCACCCTTGCCCTTGACTGTGGCTCACAGTGACCCTAAGAACATCAGCTCTGAACCTTGTCCTCTCCTGCACACTCTCACAATCTCTGATAGGCTCAAACTTGCCCTCATGATGGGCTTGAGTCACCACATCAACCCAGCTTACTGAGGGTCTTCCTCTTGCCCCGACTCCTCCGCCTTTCCAAGCATGATGGCCTTTTCCAAGGGCTGGCCCCTCTCAGCAACATCCCAGCGTATGTGAGATGAAGTTTCGCCATCTGGGCCTGTAAGGAGCACCCTGGCTGCACTTTACCCAAGCCAGATTGGTTTGTTCTTTATGGACTAGGCCTTAGGAAAATCCTCACACATATCAAGGATCCACACTGTGGATGTCATTTGCTATCATATGATTTGCTTCATATCTGAATTAGTAAATAAATTTCAGAAATCTCTCCTTAGCAGCTAATCATGCACCAAGAGTATTTTAGGTATGAAAATAGCCAAAGCTTTATTTTTAAGAAAAACAAACTAAAAATTACCTCTTTGTATAACAATAGAGAAACATTTGAATGATTATAATAGCACCAGATGGGATGTATTTTGCTCATTCTAAACATTTCCGAGGAATTCAACAAACACTTTAAATCTGAGAGAACAACTATGAGACAAAAAGCATCCTCCATGCATCACAGACAAAATAAAAAAACTAAAAGGAAAACCAAAATGTCAATTATAGCTACCCTGGTAATTGCAGTCTTAACTATCCTGTATTTCTAGCATGTTCTATATTGAGCACGTGTTCAATCATGAAGCTCTCAAATTATCCAAAATAAATGAGATAATGATTCCCTCTATATCAAGTACTTTGTTCAAAAACACTCCTGTCTTTGTTAAGTTTTATCACTATGTGGTAGCAGTGTAATGGCAACTTTGTGTCCATGGCTGGCCAGCTGTGTTTCCTGACAGATGAAGGACCTCATGTGAATCTGAGGCCTCCTTATCAATGTCATGGTTGGGGTCAAGGTGCACATGGCACCAGCCTGCACAGCAGACCACATACACCACCACAACTGTCCAGAAGACCTGTGTTCTGTTGCTCAGCACACTCCACAGGTTTCTCCCGGGTTCCTCACTGTCTCTCTTGAGGGGACTGCCAGGCCTCCCAGGACCTGCCCACCACTCACTGTCACTTCACTATTGCAGCATCACTTCCTAAGCCACATGCAGATATCTGGGGGTTCACGACTTCCAAGGAAAGTATCTCTCTGGACACCAGCATGCAGCATTTGAAAAACCGGTCCCTGGGAGCCAAGCCCAGGATTCAAGAAAGATCTGCACTCACAACAACCTACCATACGGAACTGTGTGTCCTTTAATGGTAAGGGGTGCAGGGGACGCAAGAATTCACTCAACTGTTCCCCACCACCCTCTCATCTCCTCTCACCCGTGATGCCTTTAGCTACGGCTTCCCACCCAGTCCCTCTCTCATTGCCCTGACCTGCCCTCCAACCCCTCTGAGACCGGACAACACTCAGTCTCCCTCCTTGCTCTGAATAAATCGGAAGGCCACATGAGATTTGCATTGTCAACACAAAGGTACACAGCTTGAATCCACTAGCTGCTCCAAGGGAAAAAGATCAGCAAACTGCTCCCCTGTGATTTACGGCCTCTGAAAACTTACTGGAGGGTCAGCTATGGGTCGGTTCACACTCAACAGTGCACACCAACAATAATAGTGGAAGGCAGTCATCCCAGTATGGCTCCAAGGGTGCACCGCATAAAGCTGCCATCTGGATACCCGGCTTCACCTCATCTTCGCTGTCCTGCACCAAGCTTCAGGTCACTCGTCCACCGTCTTCTCAATGCCCACCCTGCCCTGCTGTCTTCCATCTTGCTGGTCACAGTGGCGTCCACCTGGTGACCCGTCTGGCTTCCAGGTTCTTGGCTAGCCTGCCTTTGTCCAGGGGCGCGTGCCACTCACACATGGATCTTGTCGAGCAATGACAATACCCTTCCCCCTCGATTTCTGCCTCCCTCTTTGGGGAGCAAACCTTCTTCCCTCTTCCCATGCCTCAGCCCTGGCTCATCCTGACTCTACTCGCTGGGCCTGGTTTAGCACTGCAAGGGGCTGCCAGGCATGAAAAGGAGTGGCCATCTCTTCCTCGGCCACGGGCAGTCTGCTTCCCAAGGAGGCCACCTTGAGTTCAGAGGACAGAGAATGACAGTCTCCCACCAGCCTTGACCCTAAGCTGTGGTCTCCAAACCTGTTTTTATAAACGGCACTGCTTGTTACCAACAACTATAAGTTTTCAGTAAAATACATTTGTTTCTCCTTGGTCAGTATTCTTTACTTAACCTCTTCCTTAAAAGGAAGGCACAGGTGGCACAGTGGTTAAGTGTTGGGCCACTAATCTTCAGGTCAGCAGTTCAAATACAACGGCTGCTCCATGGGACAAAAGATGAGACGGTCAACTTGTGTAAAGATCACAGCCCTGTTAATTCTAGGGGGCTGTCCTGCCAGGTCCTATGGGGGCACGATGAGTCAGAACCCACTGGACAGCAGTAGGCTGAAGCTGTAAAGGAGGAGCCGAAAGGACAGGGTGCTAGTGGCCGAAACCACTTTCTCCTCCCTGGAACTGTTTCCCCTGGAAAGCCGCTGACTCAGACATTCTGCTCTCGAAGCCCCGCTGGATTCTTCGATGACTTCCACAACACCTGCCCTCTGACCTCTGTTCCTCCCACCCGAGCTGATCTTCCTGTTTCTTCTCCACCCAGTCCATCTCTACAAACTCGACAGCCTCCCTAAACGGTCTTGTTTCCCTTTGCCCTATTCCTGCAAGAAAGCCCCAATCCAGGACAGACCCAACCACCCGCTTGCCTAACACTGGGGCTTGAACGGCTGGAAAGAACGCTTTGTGAAATCTTTCTAAAACGCCACAGGGCAAGCGGATACCACCATACTCCAAACCTTGTCTGGTTTGTACCTAGGTGTGTACACACACACACACACAGTTCTCTGGAGAGGCCAGCACGAGGGCATCACCCTGCTCAAAGTGCCGCTGGACCCCATACAGGGTGACAACTTAACAGACTGAACCCCAACACATCCAAGGGTTCCTGGCCAGGATCTCGTCCACCAAGTATTTCAGGGAAATTTGCCTATGATGTCAGAGAGCCAATGAGCACAATGATGAATTCATTTGAGGTCTTTCTCTGTGACAATGGACATAAACAGCACAAGAGGAAAAGCCCATTTCCAGAACACTCCAAGGGAATCTGTGACCTGCTGGAACCTCATGGAGCCCCTGCAGGCGGCCGCCGCCCAGCCCGTCCACCTGTCTACCCATAACAGCTGTCACCACACCGGGACATCGCTACCTTAGGAGGGCCTCGAGCTCAGGAGGCCGCCTCTCTTCCCTCTTCAAGGATCCCTGGTTCAGCGCTCTCAGGATGGTCTTGTCAAATGTCTCTGATGACAGTTCCTTTGGAAGCTAGAAAAGACGAAGGAAGAAAGCAATCAAGTAAAGCCAGTGGCATCCACTGCCGCGTTTCTCACTCCCTGCTCCACAGCAGACGAGGACAGGGTATCACGGCCCCTGCCCCACACGCCGCCAGAGTGGCCCCTGACCCATCTCCCAGAGGCAGAGACATGCTGGCAACCCGAGGGCCAGTCTGTGCAAGGCCTCCCGCACGGAGCCTTCCTGCATGCACATGTGCACACCTCAGCGATGGACTTCGGTGAGGCCTGAGCGCTGAGCCAGGGTAAACATTTGCAATTTATTTTCAAGTGTTACTTCAACTTTCATTTCAGTCCTAAGGAGGGCACAGGTCTGTGAAGAGTGCAGCTGTAAGGTCTGGTGTCTAGCTCCTGGCCACTTGCGTTGAGTTTCCTTGCTCCTTAGAGCATGTCTCCAGCACCCCTAGCCTCCCCCCTCCCCCCGCCCGGGCCAGGACCTTGGCCTTCGCTCAGGCCAGAGCACTCGGTACTGAATGAGAGGAATGAGGCCTCGTGGAGGATGACCATGGAACGCAAGATAAAGCAGCAGTATTTCTCGTTCCAACCTCACGCTCTTCCAGGCGCTAAGAGACAGGGGTGCGAGGAAGGTTTATGGCCCCCACTTGGGGAGCTTGTAGGACACAAGCAGCTGACAAGACCTTAACAGGCCGGGGAGAGGGCAGCAGGTACAGTGCAGGCTGCAGTTCAAATGGGCGGAAACATGGCAAGTCTGATGGCAAACTGGAGCTATCTCCACATTATCTCCCACGACAAGCACAGCCCAAGAGTACCCACAAGCGCTCAAGGTGCTCATCTGCACACGCTGCCCAAAGGGCTGTTTCTGCCCTGGGCAGATGATGTGAAGAAGAGTTAACAGTAAGCCTGAAAGGCTATTATACGATCAGCGCCCAATGTTGGAGACGTTCCTTATCTGCAAAGTCATTTACCTTATTTAGAAAATACTCAGATTCATCTCTCAGCTTCACAAGCAGACCATTAATGATCATCTCTTTCTTCAGCAGTCAACTACTTTTCTGAAGCTTCATGTTTTTAAAGCATGTAAGGGAAGAGCTCTGGGGACTCAGTGGTAAGGAACTGTGTGGCCAACCCAAAGCATGCGCTGCTTTACGGGAGAAGGATGGACAATCTCCCTCCTCCAGTGAGATTTACTGCCTCTGAGAACCCGCTGAGGGGCCAGCTACGGGTCAGTTCCGACTCGACAGCACACAACAACAAGCTTTCAGAAAGATGATGCGACTGAAAAAACAACAGTCAAGACACAGAAGGGGCGGGGCTTAGGAAGCCCAGGGGAAGGGAGAAGAACGCTGTGGAGTGTCTTACCCCGCACATCAGCCTCAGTCTCCATCATGTTCAAGTTCACTGTTCTTGTCACTGTGTCGAATAAGCAGGAGGGATCATGTACGTGTGCACAGGCTGGAGCTCCGGTCTATTTTAGTTTCCTAAATGCTGAGAGCACTGGCCCGAGTCCTTCTCCCTGTCACTAACAAACACTCCTCCCTGACACATGTTAGGCCCTTTCCCTGCAGTGTGGGGCAGAGTTCGCTTCCTAAATTGAAAGAAGCCACAGGAAAGGGGACTATTCAAGCCTGGCCTGGGTGGGACCTCACAGGCTGAGGCTTTTCGAGGGATGCAGGACAAGCCCAACAGAAAGGACACCGTGACTGCGCATCTAACCACACGTGCTGCTCAGGGCTGTGCACGCTGAAGGAAACACGAGAGATGTGACAGGAATACACCAACAGGGACGAGTCGATGACTTAAAAACCAGGACCATCCTGAGCAATTCAGAGGGGGCAGGCCCAAATGCGTCACTTCCTTGCCCAATCAAGACTGACTAGGAATGGCTTCCTGTTTCTGTTTTATATTCCTCATAACAAGAATTCAAAAACACTTGCTTATTGAGAGTACACGACACCCCTACCCATGTGCTTTTCAAGGAAATGAAATCAGATTAAAGAAGCAGGTTCCACTTTGAACCAAATGTCCCCAGGTGTCAGTGGCCTCTGCAAGCCTGGGCATCGCTGTGCTGTCTTGTGCTCAGTGGCTGGAGATTCTATCCTAGAGGGGAAGTGGAACTGCGACTCAGACGGAAGGATGGAGACAGGGTTAAGGAAACCCTCAGAGGGGCCTCGGCCCAGTGAGAACGGGCCTCATCTCAAGTCACAGGGAGGCCTTTAGAAAAACATCTCTTGAAAATAGCCACCAACAACTCCATCTCAGCAAGAACTGGAAACCAGAACAATATGGCATCTTGGAAACACAGGAAACCCTTCACCGTCAACTGGTGATGGAAGGTAATAAAACTTGGGTTTATGATGTCATGTCATTTTCTACAGGTGATGTGTCTGGTGGGTGCTTTCTAAGCAGAATTTACTATTAAAAAACAGCTCACAGATGTTAAGTGGGACACCAACTCATAGCTGACCCCTCAGTGGGTTTTCAGAGGTTGTAAGAAGCACAGGAGAAGCCAGACCATTGTTCTTCCTCAGAATGGTTAGTGGATTCGAACCGTTTGCCTTGAGGTTGGCAGCACAGCCCCTTACCTACTAGGTCACCAGAACAAACTCTCTAAATGAAGGTATTGCAATTTTCCCAGTTAGTGTATTTTGGCATGGAGGCTTTGGGATGCTACCGATTATGTTAAAACCACTTTTTTTTTTTGTTTGTTTGTTTTTAAAACCACTTTTAACAATAAAAGTCTGTACTTTTACCTTTAGTAGAAATTCCTGGAGTTCTTGATGGGTTTTTGTTACTGTTGTTACTGAAAGATCAGACCAATTTACCTAAGGTGAAAAACAAAATCACATTTTAGAGTTATTCCTGAGGGGATAACCAGCTGGGAAGAAGTCATGCACAAAGGGCTTTACTTTAAACCTTATCAACAGTTAGAAATGGTAATGAAAATTAATCTGACACTGTAATTTCTTCAAAATCATTAAAATGAACCGTACATACATGCACTGTCCTTGAATGTTTGTCGCTGTTAGGTATCATCAAGTCAACGCTGACTTACGATGACCCTACAGACAACAGCTCTAACCCTGCCCTCTCCAGTGCCGTCCTCATGGTCCCCGCCACGCTGGAGTTCGTGCCCATCTTGGTGAGGGTCTTCCTCTGGCTCTCTGACCCTCCACCTTTCCCACTACGATGTCTTTTTCCAAGGAGTGGTCCCTATTCAAGTAAGTTTTCCAATAATTCTTTTCAGATAGACTTTTTAAAAAGTAGTCTTAATGTGACTGTTACAGTAACATTTGAAAAGAGGAAAAGTCAAGTCTTTTATTGTGAAGTTGCTGGATTCTAAAATGGCACAAGGTCAGCGTAGACCTGTGTAGAAGACAAGCCTACAATTCTCTCTTAGAACTCATTAAATATATGCTTCTAAGAGAAAGAAGGAGACTTGACTGGCCTCTGTGACAGCATCAATTGTACAGTGTGCACTGTACTCTATGTACCGCTAGAGAGATTGATGGTCTACAAAGATTCCATCTTTCTCTCAAAATGTTAATGTCCTACTAAAAAGGTGGACCATACAGGATGATCGCCTTCTTCAGCTAGAAAAGCAGATGCTCAAGAGAAGTGAATGTAATTGAGAGCAGCCCGAAGTTGGAGCAAGATCCGGAGACTGGCTTTGCCCACCTTCCCCAGGAAGCTTCTCACACAGAGGGCTCCTCACGGTCACGGAGAAGCTCACAGACCAGACGTGTGGGCTCTGCTTATATCTCAGCACATTACAATTCCTCACACATTTTTAAATTTAAAAAAACGACCTAGCAAGACAGCCTCAAAACAAAAATCTTTATTAACTGGCACATTATCAAGCGATCTTGAGGTCTTCCAGTGTGTGGGGGGCAGCTCCTTGGCTCAGGCCTGGTTCTCGGTGTGGGGTGGCAGGACAGTGCAGTCACTGCTGACTCAATCTGCAGCCCAGTGCAAGGATGGGAGAGGCTGCCCAAGCCAAGTCCTTCCAAGACTGTGAGCAGGGCAGGTGCTGACAAGCCCATGGCAGTAATAAGTCCAGAGCCCGGGCATCAGGAGGAGGCCAGTGTGGCTGAGGGCCACGTGAGCAAGGGGGCTGGAGTCATGCGTTACACAGCAGAGGAAAGCACATGGAGGGGACGGCTAACATGCTGCGGAAGTCAGAGGTCAGAAATTCATTCCAGGCCAGAGCAAACAGTGACCCATCAGATCCTCTGGAAGTTTCCATGGCAGCCAGGGTCTAGGTACACGAGAAGCCATTCTGCTGGAGGGTCAGGAAGGCTTCAGGTGAGAGGGCTGACTGAACATGGACAAGCAGCACCTCTGGGGGAGGAAGTGAAGTGAGGAGGTAGGGAACCAGGGGCGATTCCTCAGCGTCAGTGTGTGCGGCCCAGGTCAAGGGAACAGGTGAGAAAGGTGAATGAAGCCCAGGTGAGGTGAGAGGAGGGTGTGCTAGGAGATCCACACTGCAGGCCACAGGCCGTGGAGACAGCGTGAGTCTCAGACGGGGTAGGTCAAAGCCAGCGTCAGACCACAGGCAGTAGTATGGAGGCTGCACATCTCTGAGCTGAGGCGGCTACAAACAGGATGGCTTCAGACCACAGAGCTGCAGTTACAGGTGGGAAAACAGGTAACGAAGTCCAGGGAATTGACAGGCCAGTGAGAGAACAAGAGTGGAAACCATGATGGGAAAGAAGCACCTACAACCTTGTATGAAAAATAGCAGCAGAAATGCCAACTTCTTTTTAAAGACACATAAAGTACATCTTATATCTTTATTCTCTCCCTACATGTAATGCTCTTATTTAAAAAAAAAGAAAAGAAAGAAAAAGAAAAGAGAAGAAAGAATATTACCCAAAGTAATTTCAATGACATAATTAAAAGTTTCAAATCTGGCAAACTACACAGAGTAAACTAGAAACAAGGGATTCCGTTCATATAGGTCACATACTTGGGCATGTTGTTGGGACAGGCTATTTCTTGGAAAGGGACATCGTGCTTGGAAAGGTGGAGGGTCAGAGAAAAGGGAGGAAGACCCTCAACCGATGGATTGACACAGTGACTGGAGCAATGGGCTCAAGTGTGTCAGACAGGAGAGAACAAAGTTCAGATCTGTTGTTCACAGGGTCACTATGGGTTGTATTTGACTCAATGGCATCTAACAACTATATATACATACATACACACACATATATGTATATGTATGTATATATATATACACACATATACATACAACCTTTCTTAAGTTAGCAAGTCGGCTGTATGTTTACCCAAACATCACTCTTCATTCTTTCCAAAAGATCATTTAATGCAGGCTAAAAGATAACTGTTTTGTGGGAGGTGAAGAATGGCTTACTTTGAAGGTGTATTCCCAGTACTTGTCAGTCCTTTTTCTCTGGACTCCCTTCAACATTATCTTCTCGATGTGCACAGCTGAAATCAAAGACAAACACATTTAGCATCTACAGAGTTTAGATCTGACTCTCAATTCCCAAATGCAACCCTACAATTTGACAAATACTTAGGTATTAAGCTCTTCGCCTCATCTTTACCATTAGTTAGCCTTAAGGGAAGAATTAAAAGCACAAAAGCTGAGCAACAACCCACTCATCCACAAAACTGAGTTGGTTTTCCTATCCTGCATCTATTCAACACGCTGAGGGCCCAAGAAGCTTCCAGGCTAAACTCCAAAGACGAAGAAAACACAAGGATGCTTTACTAAGGATGTTTTTCTACATAATTTTCAAATCTGTTATGTTGTGTGGAATATAAAAAATACAGCATGTGAGGATTAACTCACGTAAGCACTCGTTCATGCTCACGACCTCACGGCTCTAAGTTGTACTCAACTCCACGACACCTAACAACAACAACAACAGTTCATGTCAATTAATTTTACACAATCGGTATATTCAGGAAAACAGGCTGGTAGTTGGGGTAGGTGTTCCCCCCCACCCCCACAATGGAAAGAAAAGACTCCAAAGTATTGTGTCAAACCTGATAACAAAATTCTATCAAACTGGGAAACTGGAAACTGTTTAAGCCTGACCCTTAATATCAAATAATGATAAAGACACATTGAGCATTATGCTGAACGACAAGATTCATGACATACCAAAATCCTCCTTTGCATTAAAAGAGCAGCGGGAATGACGTGTGCACAGTCATTCCGAGAGGAACTAGAGAAAATTATCCATTTATTCATGGGATAAGCTGCTGTACAAACCCGACAACTCCTCATTGGAAACTTCTCTAGTCTTAAGTATCACAGTAGGAAGCAAACCTTTCTACAACTGAAAGGTGTCAAATCCTTGAGCTCACTGGGCTCTTCCCGACACAGCTGGAGGGTCCAGCCCTCGAAACAGGGCACAACGTCAGAAGGCGAGGGGCGTGGATCTGCCAAAGGTCACAGCGATGAGTCTGAGCCGTGACGGCACCAAGCAGCGTGATGCTGGCTTGGACAAGGGAACGATTCCTTTTTCCCCAGAGGAAGAAGTTAAATACAGGAAGGATGCACGGAGGTCCCACAGCACCAAAGACACAAGATTGTTCTAGAACACGTGAGCAGATCTAGATCTGGCCACACAAGCAGTCAGTCCTGGTAAACCAAGGTGACGCCTCACCAGGCTATTCTGTCAGCATCCCAAATCCAAACAGTGTCTGGTGGCCTCCCTCCAGGGTTAGGATGTTGAGAACTCCAAAAGCCAGGTGGGGAGACCTGGATCCTCAGAATCGCTTTACAGACCAAGCTACAGCTGTTTTAAAGGAAGATGCTAAGAGCCTTCTTATACTCAGCCTTCTGAAGTAATCCTCCTCCAGGAATAAAGCAGCTAAGAAGAGAGAGAGACCTGTTTGACCCTGGTCAGACCCCAAGCCTTTGTAGAAACGCAGAGGACAGGGACACCTTCTGATCAGCCTCTGGTGCAGGATGCTATACCTGCTGCCACCTCTCAGAATCAAGATGAGACCGTGTGAGAGGAGGAATGGAGGCTAATGGGAGACCACCTAACTCTAACCCTTGTTAACAAGAAAAGGAAAAAAAAAGTATGTGTAATAAAAACCATCTGTGATATTACTTTAGAGTTTTCTCAAAGCCCCTCTCCTCCTCAAAAAAAAAAAAAGTATACATATATTTTCGTTACAAAAACATAGCCCCTGACTGCAAAATGCCTCTAGGTTACCCCACTGCATAAACTCAGGTGAATGAAGGTCCCTGGGATCTAAACTGTGTTTAGAGAGGATGGAGTCTTCAGCTAGATGTGGCAACTACGTAAACTTTTAAACATCAACCATCATACTTGTTTTTCCTGGAAGTATAAAATGTATCTAAAAAAAGTACTATAAGAGGAGAGCTTAAAAAGAAGAAGGGAAATGCCCTGTGAGCATCAAATTGATTCTGACTCATAGTAAGTCTACAAGACAGAACAGAACTGTCCCAATAAGCCTTCCTGGTTTGGTGATACAGTGGCTAAAAGCACTAGGTTGATTAACAAATGGCCAGAGGTTCAAATCCACTAACAGCTCTGAGGGAAATCTTAGAAGCCCAGGAGCCAGCCCCACTCTGCCCTCCAGGGCCACCATGAGCTGGACTTGACTCAGCGACGTGGGCCTACTTTTTCGCTTTACAGAAGCAGATTGTCACATCTTTCTTCTACAGAGGAGACAGCGACAAAAACCCACTACAGTTACAACTGAGTGTGGTGTCTGTAACCTCTCGCATCCTGAGCCCGAGCCTCAGGATTGCCAGTCCTACTGTCTTCACCACACAGGTTAACGAACTTCCCAAACCCAAAGAGAGTGCCTTGCTTTTTAGACAGCTGTTTTCCCCATGCCACAGCCTCTTGAACACGGAGGACAGCTACTCTCTTACACTGAACTTCTGCTATGTTTGCTTTTCCAGAGGCTCTGAGTACACTAAAGAACGCACGACACCAGATGCTCAGTGAGCAAGAACGTCTTTGCCCTCCAAAAGCACCTGACCAGGATTATGACAGACACACGGACAAGACAAAGCAGAATGGAGCAGGACAGGAGTGCAGACAGCAGACCAAGCTAGAGGGGAAGGTGGGCTTCTCTGTTCCAGCAGGAGACAGGAAAGTCAGAATCTGTCCATGCAGTTCTATCACCCTGCCATCTCCCACCTACTGATGCTTTCCGTTTACAAAAAATATAGAAGCATACCTTCTGGCTGGGCTCTGTGAGGTGCCGGAGTAAGTCCATCATGAGGTATTGGGCCTGGTTCTAGTAAACTGGTCTCGTGACTGTGCACACAATCGCCAAGAGTGGAATCATTCTGGACAAGAAAGAGGGGCGTGTTAATCTACACCTGGAAGACGAATCCCAAACTCCAGAGACAGGCCACAGCAGCTCTGCAGGCTTACAGCCTCCACAGCAAGCACTCGGGTTAACACGGTTCACAGAGCAAGTCGGGGATCACAAGCTGCGCCCGGGCAGAGCAGCGAGGAAAGGGAGAACCATTGTTACCCTGATTTCACTTAACAGTCCATCGGTTCTCCAGGGTTGGTCCCACTTTCTCGGGGCAGATGCAGTAACAGCATACTGCTAATTCAGAGCTGTGATGATGTCAGCGTAAACCAGGTGAATTGAAGGGACACGCTGTGTGCGAGTGCCTCCTATCAAAGGGCATTTAGGTTTCCCCAAATTCTTTTACACAATTTGTATTTATTGCTCAGGTTTTGTGAAAATCTCACAAGATGTGTTCTCAGGAAAAAAGATAATTTTGCAAAGCCATCATCAACACATGCTTAGCCTTTCTTGAAAAGAAGAATGGCTGTGGACAGATTATACATCAAACATCAAGCGGCACACTAAGCCTAATTGAGTTTGCTTGGCGAATCATTCATGAACAGGGATAAATTCTACTCCCTGGAGATCTGCTGTTTAGGATAAGAGACAGTACAAAAAGCTGACCAGCTTCTTCAGACCTTGCTATGGCCATTAAGTCCCAAAGAACCCACTAGAAGACCAGAGATACTGCTCCATGTCAATTCTCTATCTCAACTCAAACCACATCCACTTCATATTCAGGACCTTCTCAAAACACTATTCATTCCAGAAACACTGGTGTTTCAAAAACCATCTGCCATTTAACAAATCTGCAATAAATAATATACAATGATCGTGTGTGTGTGTGTGTGTGTGTGTGTGTGTGTGTGTGTGTAAAGAGACAAACAGAAGACCCTAAACTTCCCAACAATCCCAATTTGAAGGATTCTGTTCTGCTTGCTAACAACATGCCTTGGCCTGATAAGAGGAGAAGATGTTAATGAACATTAGGCTCCATTTCTGGGTGTAAGACATTTATCAAATACCCCAGAGAGCTCGGCTTCAGTCCATCTCTCCACTAAGACCCCCAGGAAAGAATGGCAGTCCTTCTAGAGCCCTCCAAAAGGGGGAAGAGAGAAGGCTGTCCATGTTAACATCCCTGGTCTCTCATACATCTAGCCTGAGCGTGTTCAACACTTGTCAACAGTGATGAAAGAATTTATCCAAATAATAAAGCAATGTGTATCCTAAGCCAGACCACACAATCGCCGACCACATCTGCTTAAGAGAGACTTCACTTTGCAATATTTAACACTGTTTTTAAATACATCTAAAATCAACACAGCTATGGGAGAAAAAGATGCAAACATCCAAAATGAGAGATGAAAATGTCTGGCTTAATATGACTTAGAATGGTTAAACTACAAATGTTTCAGATCTAAAAGGATTCTAAGAAAATACTACCACAAAATACAAATGGTAACTGTAAGCCAACCAAGTAGGTGACTTACAGAGGAAGAGGACGAATTCCTAGAAACATACCAACTACACAAATAGCTTCAAGGGAAAACAGAAAAAAAAATCTCGACATGGGACAAGGAAACCAGTATTCTGAAAACTCCCCACCAAATGAACGCCCATCACCAGTTACAGACCCCATTGGTGGAAACATGCTAAGCAGAATTAAGTCAGGCACAGAGGGACACGGCCTATGACATCGCTGGATGAGACAGATGCCGAGACAAGGGTTTATTCGTAGTTACCAGTGGCTGGGGCAAGAAGGGTGATGGGGAGTTAGTGATTAAAGACTCCTGAGTTTCTGTCTGGGGTGACTGAAAACACAGAAATGGAGGGTGATAATGACTATACAACCCACTGGAAGCTAATGTCATTTAACGGTCAACCTGTTTTACCTATATCAATTTAAAAAAAAAATCTTTTTTTAAAAATTGTGATAATAACAACTATCTGATTTTTTGATAGTCAAACACCCTAAGCTTCTCAAATAATTTTGTCAACGGGAAGACATGACCCATTTGTGGTTGATAAAAACAGCATATGCTGTCATATACAAATAATGCAAAATATTTCTTTAAAAATATATATTTATTATGTTGCCTCTAGAAATGTTGCATTAGAGCAACTGAGAGAAAACAGTTTGCTTTATAATCAAATATATCTTATTAAAGTCTAAAATCACTTTACGAAAGAAATCTGACAAATAAGAGAGTGTCCTTTTTAATAAGTCAGGGAGAGAACGGGATGCCAACCCCTATATGATGACTATCTTCTAATTAAGGGGCCCCTGGCCCACCCCAGCAGGCACCAGTCCTACCAGATCACAAAGACAATGTTTAGAAGGTATTTACAGAGACCAGGGCCAGGCGCTGGACTCCGGAGTGCCCCGTCTGGCTACGCACTGTAGTGGTCTTTACGGAGCAGGGAAAGGGCACTGTGAACAGAGGAATGCAGGTTTAAGGGAATCTCAGAAAGAGTAATTACACCCATTTCTCCAATGAGCTCAAATTCCCATGAAAACCCAATGTGGAGCTGAGAGTCTGGACCAAAGAAAGTGACTTTCTTCCTGATGGGATCAGGAAGAAAATTTCAAACTTTAGGCCTGCAGAAAGATAAACAGGCACACCAAGAATGATGGAGATAGAGACAGAGACAGAGATAGAGGGAGAGGGATATCCAGGAGCTCCCGGAGGCTAGGATCTACCTGGAATTTAACCACATGGCTGAGATTTGTTGTTGTTCAGCACCATGGAGTAAACAAAGCCCCCATGAGTGGGCTTTCAGAGGCAGTAAATCACACAGAAGGAAAATGCCCATCTTTCTCCAGGGAACAGCTTGTGGATTTGAATTATGTGCCTTCAAGCTGGCAGCGCAGCTCCTTACCAGTAGGCCACCAGAGCTCCCTCATCTCATGCACTTGAGAGACTCTTCAGAGTTAACGTTTACACAGGCCCAGGATGACTCTTCACTCCCAAAATTTCTTAAATGTTGGAAACATTTGCCAAACAGTCAAGTAGTTGGGCAGTCCTAAAAACTCTGTGAAAGACACCATTAACACAAATGCTCACAGAAAGTCAATCTTATTAACAAAAGTCAAATGGCAGATGAGGCTGACTTTAGTTTCTCTAACAATTTCCTCTGTTCCTTTGACATAGACAGTAAATCCAAAATCACCAAGGCAGCTTTAACATGAAAACCAAGAGTTTCTTAAGCTCATTTAATTGCACTAAATTCACTGTTTCAAAAGTGTTCACATTCACCAAATTTTCTTATCAGCCTTAGTTCCTTTAAGTTTCTCAGACTGATCAAAAACAGAGTAAACATTTTCTGAAAGAAAAAAAAAAATCAAAACCAAGCCTGCTGCCACTGAGCTGATTCCAACTCTGCAGTCAGCTGTCAGGTTTGTGAGGCTGTAAATCATTCCTGGAAGGGACTGCCCATCCGCCTCTCAAGGAGCACCTGGTGGATCTAAACGGCAGACCTCCCAGTTAGCAGTGTAAAATGTAATCCAGTGAGCAGCAGGGGAGGGTCACAAGCCCTGGAGGTGGAAATCAGGAAGCCCTGGCCCCCCAAATTCTGAGCCGCCAGGGAAACCACACACTTCCCAGGGGCACCATGCTGATGCCACTCAGTCCCAGCTGAGCGGTTCCCCAAGCTCAGCCCAGACACCCTGTGAAGCCTCCTCGCTGTCTGAATCCTTAAGCTTTGTGAGAAATAACTGCAAGACTGTGAGCATGGAAGATGGTCGCTGTTTTCACTAAGTTGTGGGCATGTCATACAATTACATCTTTTAAACTTCTTTAAGTAATCAGAGTTGCAACTCAAGTGTATGCTATTATTAAAATGAGTCATCAGAAATCCTGCTTGAATGCTAGACAAGGACACATTATTAGACACAGAACTGGGACACCAGATTTTATGAGTTTCTGAAGATGAGAGCAAGGCTGCTGGGGGATTTCAGAGCCGCAAGCTCCCTGGTCCTCACTGGTTAGGAATTGGCATGGAGCAGGCCTGGGTGATGGGGGGGCTGCCCTGCCTCATCTGGCAGCAGGGGGGAAGCACTGTGTCCTGCATGAAGGTGGCCCCACAGACACTGAAGTGACACTGAGTTCAGAGGAGAGTGCAGCAGCTCTGTGGTTCAGAAGCAGCAGCACGTCGACTTCTGCTCTGACCCTGCGTGCCCCATGTGTTTCTGCTGTGACACACTCCCCACATAGCACTTGTACTGCTGAGTTAAACTAGAAAGCTGGGTCAGAGGTGATTCAGCAGAAGAATCCCCAGGTCCACAGGGCAGCTCATGGGACAGACCCACCCCAGCCAGCAGTCTCGCTTGCTCCCATCATGTGTTGACATCTGTTTGCCAGAATGGCCTCTTAATTTGGGGGGAACTATATATATTTATTACTAATCAGGGGAAAAATTAAAAACTCATGATCCCATGTCATTTCCAGAATCCTTAACTTGTAGGCTGCACAATCCAGGAAGATGTGGCAAGAAAATATTGATAAGGTAGCCAAGGGCCAAGGAGCAGTGAGGGCAACAGTTTTTATCCCAGAATTGGCTTTCAGTGTCTTTGTAGGAAGATTCCCTTCAGGCTTCCACCATCTTCAGCTGAATATCACCATCTGTTGGGAGCTCTGGTGGCCACAGTCTGTATTTAGTTGAAGGTGAGGGAGAGAAATTCTGCACTTAGATCCAGGAGCCCTGGGGTAGGAGAGGTTAAGCTCTGGAAGGTTAATCCATGTCACTGATGGGAATCTACTCACCATTCTCCTTCCAGAGCTCCGGCCTTGGAAACCTGGTGGAGGGTCTGTGATTCACAATCAATCTGACAGTGATGGTTTGGTTCTGGTCCTTGGATCTGGAGGTCTAGTAGCACAATGGATTAAGCTCCGAGATGTTAACACGTTGCCACAAATGATGGGGGGAAAATGTGTTTCTAAGCAAGGTTGTCAATTTAAAAGTGTGCGGCAACTTGTTTAACTGAAC